GAGAGAGAGAGAGAGAGAGAGAGAGAGAGAGAGAGAGAGAGAGAGAGGCGCCTCTCACATCCCCCCATTGTCCAGTTTCCTCAAGGAATCAGAACCACGGCTTCCTCAGTACAAGGCAGTTTATGGTTTTATAGATATATATAAAACCATAAACTGCCTTGTCCCGTTCTTTTTGATTGCTGTTTAGTCTGTAGTCTTAAAGTCTTTAAATTTGTCATGTCTTTGACTTTTGTTGCATTTGGCCAAATTCAATTGCCTTTAAACATGATCTGACTTGACCAATGTCTGTTTGGGAAACAGCGGATGGGTGTTTCACCTTTAGATGGAGGTCTTTCCACATTGACACCACTGAGCCTATTGAATGCAAACACACCACTGAGTCAGAATGCACAACAGCTCTGCTATCAACAGTCATGCAAGTCAAAGTCCTACTGTGTTGCATAACTTTAAAGGTCAGTCAATGTCAGGTAATTACTGAGATTCTACAACCAAACACAGCAGAGTAAATCCGTCAACAGCTTGGCAATTAACCTCTACTCCTCGACAGCAGCTCCGCTGTAGATTATCCAATTAACAAATTTGCTTACATCGACTTTCCAGGAGAGGGCAGTGTCATAACAGTTTTAGCAACAAGCCCAGTCTGGCACTGATCAAAACACCAACAAGTATCCTTTTCATGAAGGCTCTCGACAATCTTTAAATCACTTTGTTTCATGCAGTCTGTTCAGCTCTTTAGACATGTTACTCATGTGATCCTTAGGTCTATTGTTATGTGACCAGATTCAAATGACACATGGTTTAACAAATGATAAAATTAATTTAAAACGCTTCAGACATCGAGCATCTCTAACTCACCTCGTGTGGAGATAAATTAAGACTGAGACTAATGACTTTGTGACGTTTAACACTTCTTGCAGTGTGATGTAGGGTCCCCAAAGCGTTCACATGCAGTGACGTCGCTTAACGCAGATTATTGAGAGAGCAGTCAAGTCACCAATAGAGAGGCAGAGCAATACCGGAAATAAGGCTACTTTGCTTTCATCATAAAACCATAAAAAAATACTTATTGTGACATGAAGTAGGCTGCTTATTGCCGCTGTTATTAAATGACCCAGTTTATGAGCTACAAGAAAGATCTAATTACAGCCTATTTGGTTTAGCATGTAGGAGAAGGAAATCATATCATTGTTGACATTGTATTTCATTTTACACGTTCAGTCCCTTAATAACAATGTATACTGATAATTGGTAAATCAATCAAACGAATGTCATCTCTTCGAATCTACAAAATTTGAAAGGGGTGTTTGAAGAGGTTTATTTAAGGATTTTTTTAAACCCTTTTTTACCTTGATAACAGCAGATATTAATAATTAACCGATGGCCAGATATTTTAAACAAATGTGTAAATTAACTGAAAAACACAAAATGTACTAAATTCTATGTTTAAGAGATTTTGAAATTGCGTTGTTTTTTAAGGAGTTTGGTTAGTTTTGTTGGTGATTCATACATTTTTTCAAAGAGGATTATATCAAAAGAATGTGTAAAATATAGGACAGGTCATGTAAAATCCACTATGATAATAGTAAAGGTCTTCTAAAATGATGTGTTGAGGGTATGTTTCCAATTTTTCAGAATTATGGACAAGTAAAGGCACATCTGAGAATCGACACCTAATAATTTAAGGCTAATTTATGTGATTAGCTTTGTTGCAATTTAAACGCTTAGACACAGAAAAAGGTCAAGGCCACGAAACTCCCTTTGTTCATTTTATTTTGAAAGTGAAGGCCGGAACAGGTCTGCCGCGGCTGCGTGGACGCTGTGTGAGAGGCGCGCGGTGACAGCAGCAGCACACCGTCAGGGAGAGCGCGGCGGAGCGAGATTCAGCCACGAGCGAAAATGTGAAGGTGGAATCCGACTGAGCAGCATTGTTTCTGTGGAGGAAAAAAAAAAAAAAACACAGCCGACTTTCCCACGCAGCAGGAACAGGAGCGCTATTTTGGATTTTGTAATTACTGGAGATACCCTTGCTTTATTTTTATTTTCTTATTCATTTTTTTGTACCCTTCTTTCTGGCTCTGTCCACCTTGTCAGAAATTAAACTGGAAGCGGTGTTGCGCAGAGTGAGGAGCATCATTTACGTTCACTAGATGTTCAATTTGTTTACATTGCACAATTTGGAGGGAGTGAACTGCCCCGTGAAGATTTCCTCTCGCTTCATGGGATTATTCTCGACGGAGACGCTTTGTTTGAAATAAGAACAACAGTGGGCATCATGAGTTCCAGCGGTAAGTCCATTCCTGCGCGCTTTATCTCGCCACTTATAGCGCGAGGACGGTACCTCTACGTGAGTCTAGTGATGCAAGAGAAAGTGCCAACTGAAGTCGGGTTGAAATCAAAGCTCAACCAATTCCACTTCGCCTCAACACAGCATACATTCAATGTCTTTGTCATTTTAATTATAGAGCTGATGTGATACATGTCTCTGCTTATAATGTGTACAAATCCCCTATCAAAGACTTGGAGCAGGTTTAGAGAGGGCAGGAGAGCTAAGTATACCTGGAGGTCAAAGGAGAATATTCCCAGAGTTCATCCATAGACGAGCATTTTTGGGATTCTTCATCCACATAACAGCTGTTGCTTGGTCCCTCCCAATGTCTGCTCCCCTCCTCTGTCACTCCTCTTTCGTCTTCTTGTCTCCTTCCTGGTCCTCTTAGCCACCACCACCAGCAGTACCTCTGACCTCTTATGGGAGACCTCCCAGGCATTCAGCTGTTGCCTCTTTGTTAAAAAAAATTAAATTAAATAAAAGCCGACCTGTCCTCTTGCAGGAGCAGGAAACCCTCGAGCTGGAGGTTTCTGACCTGACCGCTGTCGGTCTCATGGAGTTTAGTTCACTGTGATGCACAAATAAGTCCGACAGCCCGAGGGGATTCTGTCATACTTACCATGGCCCGGGGGCCTGTTATGATGCTAAGCTGACCTTGCATCAGCTGACTGTGACCCTGATCCTCTGTCAGCTGAATCAGGGCTTTTTTCCCCTGTAGGGCTGGCTGGTCAGCTGTGTGAGCATGTGCACGCCTGTATGCGTGCCTCCACTTTGTTGTGCACAAAGTTACTGCCGCCTGATTCACAACGGTTGGGTCTCCAAGGGAAGACTTTTAAAGAAATGTCCCTTAGCGGTCAGTGAGGCGACTTGAAGTCAATGGACACCGTGGGTGCTCCGTGAAGTGATGGTGGTGTCATGTGCATCCTGTCCTCCCTGTCCCCTGTCCTTCTGTGTCTACAGAAAGGAACCGGGTATTACTGCATCATTCAAAATCCAGCTTGTCATTGCGTGGCACTACATTATTCATCAAGTGATCTTAACCCTCTGGTACCGAGGCTGCCAGGTCCCCGTGCCCCGCGTGCCAGGAGTGGTGTCGCAGCTCCGCGCTCCCCGAGAAAATGTGTAGAATTCTTTTGTTAAGCTTGGAAATGCTTTTCTCAGCTGACACCGATGAGGAGGAGGAAGGGGGTGGGGGGGGTGCAACGCAGTGTGTGGAGAGCTGTCACAAGCTCTTGTGATTTAAAAGCAGGCACTTTAACAGGAGACGCACACACACAAACCTGTGGTTCGGCCGTTTGACTGTGAGTATGCGTGTCAGCGCCGTCACACCTGGCAGATTTTGGTGTGACATATCTGTGCTTCTGGCCTTATAGGCCTAAAAACACAGCACACCCCCCCCCCCCCCCCCCCCTTCCAGTCAGTCAAACATATGCTCCCCTCTGACTCCAGGCACACTCAAGGGTTGGACATGAATGGGCCTGTTGGGCAGTGCTGTGTGCACTGCGTTCTCCGCTGCATGTGATAACCCAGAGGCCAACAACACACACACACACACACACACACACACACACACACAGTAATTACACACAGCTCCGACTGTCTGTCTTCATCTTCTGGGCCTTCTATCTTTCCTGGTCACCGGGTTTTGTGTGTGTCTGGTCAGACTCCTATTTTCTGCCTGGCTGGCATTCATGTGGAAAGAACTTTGGTTTCACTTAAGAGATATACTTCATGATTACTAGGCAATACTCCCGCAGAGTAAAGGTGTACATTGTGTGTGATTCAGGGGAGCGATAAAACACATGTTGATCAATACACTCATCATTGAGCTCGGGTACCTGAGGGGATTGGCAGAGCCATACATCACAGGCAGCACCTCTCTCCTTCCCTCTCCTTCTCTCTGTATAGCAGAGAGTTCTCAGGCAGCAGCCAAAATACATCCCAAACTTCAAAAAGTGTGTTTTTATGCGATGAAACGTTTACGCTGCCTTCTTGGCCAGGACTCTCTTGTAAAAGAGATTTAAATTCTCATTGGGATTATCCTGGTTAAAAAAAGGTTAAATAAGAACATAAAGAAATGGATTGGCTCTAAATTTGGTACAAGAATTTAATGGTTACCAGACAAAGAATCCTGACTAGCGTCACCATGATTCTCCAATGCTGGTAAATGACCAAATACCTGCTAAACTAATGACTGATGGAGGCGATAGAATAGAAAAGAGTGGATCGCCGATAGTGCAAGAATCATCCGCCGACCACAGAATGTGAAGTTTGATGAAATCCAGAGCTTTCCAGAGACCTTGTCATGAATCAAAGCGATGGCCAAAGGGAAATATTGGTTTAATGATGGTAAAATGTCAGCGAGTTCATAAAATCATAAGAAACGGTCCTCTGGGAACCGTTCATATCCATGTTAAACTTGCTCTGTACCAAAGTGTGTGAATGGACACACTGATCCAATGACCCACTGACAGACAGTGTCCTCCTGAGACCCCACTTCTAGAAGGGAAAAGATAAATAAATGTATCGATATACACAGGACAGTACAAGATTAAATGATGAGGAATGAGTCAGAACAAGGGTAGACAGGGAACGGAGCCACATCATATATGATTCCTGCTCTTCGGCCTCATCTGGTGAGCAGTCGAAACCAGAGACAAACACCATTTATCACTCCTCCTGCCAGACGCCTTAGTTCAATAACACAGAGGACAAAGGTGGGAGACAAAGATGCGCAGATGCAAACACAGATGCCGGGATGCACGCGTGAATATTCATAGTACGCAGTAATGTACAACTGGTATGTATTTTTAGTTCAACACAAAAACTTTTTTTTTAATTTCTAGTCATTGTGGTTACTCCTCTGGTACTCAGTTTAATCTGTGTAGATCAGTTAAAACCCCTTGAGGAAAGGACATTGGAGACTGCAGCGCATGGAAACATTCTGTTGTCATTTCATCTTTAAACTACGAAGCTATTTTTTAAATTTAATTTGAATGACTGAAGTAAAAAGAAGACTCATTCAGCTCAAGGCTACACCACTGTGGCCTGAGTGTGTTGCTGCCTCAAGGTTTCTGTCTCCATGACCTTGGCCTCTGGTGGGATTGAGTGATCATTCAGACTGTCAGTAGCAGTCTGACCTCTCTCTCTCTCTCTCTCTCTCTCTCTCTCTCTCTCTCTCTCTC